ATTCAACTAAATTTTAACAAGGGCGGGGTATAAAAGAAATACCAACAGCAATAAGACATTGATATCTATGGAGCAGCTAAGAATTATAAATAATAATAATAATCATCTGCTTTTTCAAATGGAACTAGCCAATGTAAAAAAAAAAAAACATTGTAAATACTTCTTTTCATTTTATAGCTGTATAATAAGTGTATATGGTGTTTACTTTTTGAGGTCTTTTTTTAATTATTATTTGTGGCTGTTTTGTTTTACAACTTATGCTTTGAAACGAAGAAAGATTGAAAGTTTGTTAGGGAAAAAAATCCCCACAAAGAAATACAAAATTCTTTTCTTCGGAGTTTCATGGTCGGTTAAAATCTTTCTTTCGCCCCGTTATTGGCATCTTATTTTTGTTCTCCGTTGTAAAGTATTTTATTGTTCAAAAATAAATAAAATGGACATTTCCTTTTCTGACTCAAGCAGCCTGTGTACGAGAGAGGAGCTCTTTTGGAAGAAACAAAATAGTTCAATTTTCAACAGAGGGAATCAAGCTGCATTTTTAGAACAGCTAAAAATCATTTCAGCGCCTTTTTTGTTCACCCCCCCCGCTGCTAACAATTTGATAATTTCCCTATTTTAGAACTATTTTTATGTAATTAAATGTGCTTTCTTGTTTACAAATGCCTGAGTTAGAGAAAAGGGCGGGGGGGAGAATGAAAATCCTTTGTCCTCTTTCCCACATCTTTTTTTCAACCTGGAAACAGATAATATTGTAATATAAAGGACTTTTATCAAATTATGTATGAAAATAGCTATGCTTATATATACATCACAGTGACTGAATGTACAGTGTATAGACTCATTATCTCAAATAAAATTGTCCAGAAAAATAAGTCCAAACCCAGTAAAAGTATCTTATTTTACTATTAAAAGACTTACTACTACTATTTTGCATAACGTGATTAAGAAAAACCAGTTTGGGGGTATAAGATGCCTAGTTGGGGTTAACAATAAAAGGGTGTTAAGGAAAGGCACCATGGAAGAAAAGTCTATTCTGAAAATATGGAAAGGAAGTTCATTCCAGAAACTTACATCCCGCTCCAGAATGAGTTAATAGCTCTAAATACTATTGAAAAAATGAAACTGCACTTGATTCCCAGTTTCCTGCTTCTGCTACATGCAAACAATTAAAATAAAAACACATTTTTTTAAAAAAATAAACTTCTAAAGTGAAGTTCAGCTTGATCCTCCTTTAAACCGGAGATCCTGCTAGTATGTTTGACCAGTCTGATTTCAACTGCTAATGCATGGGGCAGAATGAAATCCAAACACCAATGTTAATTTCAGCGGATACCTGTTGGTTAGTGTTGTGAACGTTCTGGCAGAGGCAAGCAAACCTGGGTTTGTAGTTCGACGTAACCTCAAAATCCCCATTTTCAATTACACCCACAAATGTATCTATTGGAACTGAACTGACTTCCCAATCCAGACTCACAAAAATATACTTCTGCTTAAACGTGCTT